AAGCAACCTGAACACCAGTGATCAGGCTGCGCCTACTCATAACCAGTATCATTGTTACATTAATTGTAGAGTTGTATTGTTATGATTGTTGTATAATTATGATAAACGGTTTAATTACCCAAGTTTGAGGTTTCCGGCATTGTGACTACTACTTACAAGAAGTCCCGCGTGGCATACACAAAGGCGAGCAGCAAATTCCGACCGAATCATCTTAACTACTTGGTATTCCTATATAATCTAGCCGTCCCACCAAATGACCAACATGAGAGAATCGAGAATGAGACTCGTAGAAACCTGAGACACATCTGAACGTCGCCAAAATGTCATTGGCCATTTAAGTACCCAGGTAATAGCGCTAACCTGTTTGGCTCCACAGTGCACTCACTTTAGTATTGGGTAAGTATGGTGTATTTGTATGGCTGAGTTATTAACTGAAGCTTCCAGGACATTAAGAAATTCCCGCACCTCCAAAAGACTGCTTTTACGACCACAAATATTATTGAATATACAATCGCCGCAGACAACATCAACCCGTCGATTGGATTAAAACTTCCACAAATATTCCCTCTTTAACGTTGCTGAGATATTTGCAAAACTCTGGACCGCAGGTGTCTATAGTGGGGAACGAACGCGCTATTATCCTTTCCGGGGAGTAACGCGTTCACCACCACACCATGCGGGTCCTTTGTTTCGCACGTCTCTCAGCTATTTCTATCCATCTTTTTGCCACAGCAATCACCCCGCTGACGGGCGAAGCAAAGGACCCGCATGGTGTGGTGGTGAACGCGTTACTCCCCGGAAAGGATAATAGCGCGTTCGTTCCCCACCATAGACACCTGCGGTCCAGAGTTTTGCAAATATCTCAGCAACGTTGTGGTTGTATTTCGCTTAGTAACCTGCCATGAAAATTATAGAAGGCAGAAAACAAAACGTTAAACATTCCGTCTTTAGTTCATGGGATACACATCTAAAATGAAGTGTAGATTGGCCGACGAGCGGTGAAAATATTGCTTAGAGATCTAAAAAAAGTACGCCAATTTGGAATCAGAGAGGACTCAAGCGCCGTGAGGGTATTCTCTTTAGGACCTGAGCGGACGAGTTTGTTACCTTGGATAACCATCTCTTCTTGCTGCTGCGTACGGATGTTTGTGCATGAAAAAATAAAACCACAGGTCTTCATATAGAAAACAGATTATCGAAACCAACCTAGAAGTAAATCAATGTAAAACAAGAGCCGGATAAGCTTCTAGTGGTTACTTCTCTACCAAAAGGTGCAAAAAAGAAGGGCATCATGGAAGAAGAATGGTGTCGTTCGCGTTCCTCGAGTGAGCCGAGTCTACTGGAAAGCTCTAGCATGTGACGAATGGAGTTAAGTGGTCCTCCATAGAGGTCCTTGATGTTCATGGGACCGTGATGAACTGGTGGACACAGGTGAAAGGAAATTAGGTAAGTTGTGGAGAAAGTGAAGAAAAGAGCTTTAAATGATAGATTGATTGATTGTGGAAGATTTTTCGCGGTACTAATATGAATAGCTCAAACAGGCCATAATCTTAACTTTTTATTTAATTCGTATTCTTGTTGAGAACGCGAGGTGTTATTTTATTCTTTATTCATGAATAAGCTGACGTTCCGGCGGATTTCGCCTTGCTCAGAGCCTGGAAAGGTCAAGTTGACAGCAATCTATTCGGCCAAACACCTCCATAACCAAACAGAGAAAACGCTAAACCAAGATTTCAATCACATTGAACACAACTTTGCACACTCACCGCTTTCTATGAGTCTTCCACTGAGTATGTCGCGTGGAAACCAAACTCACAAAATTCACATGGAAGCGTAATGTGCTCTTATGATCAGAGTAACAGGTTTATATGCTGCCCAATATCACGCGTGATATTGAGGCTTTCTTCACTGCGGTTCAATTTCGGATTTCTGGAATCAATCCAGAACGCCTCGAGAGTTTTGCACGCTTGTGTTCTCGATTCTTGTGCGAGGATCGCGACTCGTACTTCAAAGTCTTCCCCGTTATGTCTCTGGGTCCTATGCGTGCCTACTGGGGTATTTCGTTTACGTTTACCGACAAGGTGTTCATTTATGCGGACACAGAGTGGTCTACACATTTCGCCAATGTATTCGTCTTCCGCAAGCCTTACAGGAAATCAGACAAACTGTACCCGAGCTCATACAAACCCCGTCTCTACCATTAGGGCAAATTATGCAATTTTGCGCTGCACATAGGCGGTCATATAGGCGGTTACGAACTAGCTGGCGCCCAGGATCTATAAGGAAAGCGAAATCCGCCGAAACGTCAGCTTGTTCGTGAATAAAAAATATAATAACACCTCGCGTTTGCTCAACAAGAATACGAAGAATTACTTGATCAATGCCGAGGTTAATAGAAAGTCAGTCGTGAGACTTTTATTTACTGTTTACTATAATTTTTCAGAGCAGAGTATTATGTGAAATACCACAAGAATGGTGCTGAAATATTTGCAAAACTCCGGACAGCAGGTGTCTGCGGTGGGGAACGAACCCTTTCCGGAAACTTACGCGTACAAGAACGCACTATACGGGTTCTTCGTTTCACCTTCCCTCGAATGGCCTAGTTTTCTCAATAGAAATACAGTGTTCCTTTAGGAATATTCATTGTTACAATAGCAATCTAGATTGACTATGTGTTTATGAGGAGTGAAGGAGTAAAAATTGCACCTTTAGGATAGAGAAAGTTTGACACAAAGCGTTATGCACACCAAAAACTGTATTTCGATCGGACTCAGGTACACTTTCTTGCATAATATGAATAATTGACAGATCTGCCATCCATAACCCTAAAACAGTCGACTTGTTCTCAGTGTTACACTATTACCTTATTTATCTCACATTGATCAGCACAGAAGTCTCAATTGATTTTTCTTAGAAAATATTTTTTCGTAACTATAATCGTATTTTTTATGAATTAAGGGTATAGGGCGGGTAGCGTAGTGGTAGCGCACCCTTTCCATTACGTGGACGGCCCAGCGTTCCCAGGTGCTGGATCAACCGCACCACGGTTCCACCAAGTCTCTCATCCCTCCGGTGTCGAGAAATTGCTACCAAACTTATTTAGAAAAAGATCTATCCCTCTTTTCAACTTGAGAATACTGCAATGCGGCTTTAATAATAGGATTCCGAGGAAAACCGACTCGACCGGAATTCAGTGATATAGGTAACAATGATATATGATATATAAGACGGAAACCTTCAAGAAGAAGTCGAACCAACATAATTAGAAAAGCTTTGTAGACGGTGCATGCGAGGAACTGAATAGAATGCAGAAAATTATGGTATCCGCACAGTTTGATACATGTGCTTTCGGATCACCTGGTATATAATGTACAATAAGCGTCGTAGATCTCATCCTTCCAGACAAGTTTTCCACTAGTTTACTGACCCCAAAGGACGTGGGACTTGATTAGCCACAGACGCACGATCGAACGGTCGTTAACCGCAATGCACCTCTAGGAACTACGCTAAACGAGCTTAGCAAGAGGTGAGCGGCAAAATTGTCACCTCTTATTTTCTCTTGTGTATAAAATTTGCAAAGCTACTAAAATGTGATAGAGTTAAGCAATGTAGTTTGGATAAACACCGAGGATTAACGACGAAGTGGAATTAATCCTTTTATGATATCCATTCATTTTAGCATGCCATACGATTTATGAAGATTTGCAATATCCGATTACCGAATCTAGCACTGGCGATTCCACTAAGAAAAGTCAGAATGCTTGTCATGTTGTTCAGATCGTTTCCCATTGGCAGCAATCGTTTCATGCTCTGAAGCGATCCGTACGAAGCAATGTTTCTATCCAAGAATGTTTGATTCATTTGAAACAACGATTCCTGAATAACCTGAATCAAGATGAGAGAAAAAGTTTGGAAACAGTAGAATCGGTGTCAGATACGGCGATCATCTTTCCTCCGATGATCATGTTGTATTACTAAAACTCTTCGGTGGCTCTAAATGTTTTGGGAATTCCGTTAGCTTTCATCATCAGGCATCCATGGAAAAATTTTCTCTTTCGAAACGTCGTTAGATATCGTTAGTTTTTAAATGCATCTCTGTCTTTTGAAATATCTTACTATCAAACTACTTAATACCACAGTTAGCTGCATTATTACGGTAGAAATCTTCTAGTTAAATGCCTCTGGAAAGACAGAGGAAGGTCTATTTCACTATAATGTCACTCATGGTGAAAAGAAATTCAATATTTTCATATGTCAGTTAATTTCAGTTAAACTGTCGTAGAAAACTATCGCTTTACCGCAGTTAGCAATGTCGAAAATGACTGCAAACATCTCTCCGATCACAAATGCCGGCGAATGTCTGTTGTGATCCCCTGAGTGACGAAACTTGGCCATTCGAACTTAACCTACGGAAAAACCTTTTCGGCCTAACAGAAGCACTCAAATGTCACTTCTGCTGCGCCGGTTTTATTCTTGGTGATAGTTGACTTCACGCAACGCAAGTGATTAAGTAATGTTGTATAATTGTTTAATTACTTGCGCAGTTTTCCAAACAACTCGTATTCACGAGTGATTGCGCTGCTCTCAGCAAAATTTGCCGATGACTGATGATTTCCTGGTCGGATATGTTTTTTTTGAAGTATCGAGGTGGCCAAACAAGGTCTTCCCCAAAACATCACCAAGGTGGCATCCAGCGCGAGTCGACTTTAATTAGGCTACTGGATAGAAATCTCGAACTCGTCTTCAATCAGGGAAACCACGCTAGAGGATAAGCTTTTGCGATAAGTCGCAGTTTGTCACCCAGCACGCATACATCATATCCTGCCCATCGCGGCAAACAGTTGTGATGTTGTGACATTGGAATCATATTTCTCGCGACTTTGTGAGCATAACACTAGTGATTAAATCAAACGAAGTTCAATGCGTGAACACACATGTCCTACCTTCATTGTTTCATTGTAGAAATATTCCTTTGGATCAAACGGCGACCCCGGTAGCCATATAGAAATAACAGCTGCGATTAAGCAAAATTGTTGACACTAAAAACAACGAAAGGTAAGAAATTTTAGAACGTACATCTTAACAATTTCAGAAAATTTTCAGTCGTTTCATTCGTTCACAACAGATTCAATCAAGAAAAATAAGGTAATGTGTAGTTGGATGTCATAATCTTTGTCGCTGGAAAGTCAACTGCATATCTTATTGAAATCAAGAATGTTACTAAATATTGTTCACATTTACACACTTTATATTAAAAGGATAAAGCTCTCGGCGTTGATCAATCCCTTACGGATGTGCCACGCATTCGACTTCATTAAGCAACGTTTGGAGGTGATTGAATGCATTTCACGCCTTTACAACGACTCGCGGCCGCCTACCGATGTATCGAGCCAGTGCTGCTATTCTACCAGGCAATTCTGGTACCAATTTGCCGATCCCCTTGGTGGGCCATGGGCGTGGGGATCGATTCCATGTGTGTATTGTAGGCTGCCTCCGACCACGCGCCACACGTGCCCTTTCGCACTTTATATTAGGGTTACAAATATATAACAAATATACGGGAACTATTAAAAAATAAGTGACCACGCCTTAATTTGAGTAGAGATTACTTAAAGCGCCTAATTTTTCGTTCCGCGCTGTGTGCATCGAAAAACTTGTTCGACGAAAGCTTTTTGCAAATTATTAAATCTAGGGAAAGACTTTTCAAAAAACACGTCTAGCAGAACGTCTGAGTTTCACACCACCAGAAATATTGCGCATTTAAGTCAATGCATAAGACAACATATTTCTTAAAGGAAACTATGTGAACTAACAAGACGATTTTCGTCACCTATAAACTTGTTGCGTATTGTTGGTTGCCAAATGCGTCTATCTCTACCGGCACTGTCGAACTGCGATGAATCTGGCTGCTCAGTCCTTCTCGGACAGTTTAGTCCTGAGGGGTCACGGTCAAGTTACTTTCACTTAGTATAAAGAAATCTGCCTCAACTCGACCTTCAAGACGAATCAGAACTTGCTGTTTCTGAAAACAAGGGGGAAGGAACGTATGAACTTTTATTTTATTTTTTTATTTACATAAGCCCACATCACTTGTACTACGCGGATTCAAACAGTTCCTTCATCTGATTTAATTCCTCACATCCCTATTACATAAATGTCTTCTAGAATATTGTGTGGGTTCTGTTCTTGACCTCTTACTCTTTCATGCTGTCACTTATTACCCTTCCGTGTGAATGTGGTTGGTTGCTGGTCGGATCGGCTCTCTCGGAATCCGGACCCATACCACAGCGTTCCACGTCAGAAGCAGGTGCTACCTTTTGTGGAATTGAAGGACGACCAAATCCAAGACAAGTCCGGCACCTATTTTACGACCCTATGAAGGATGTAGGATTTGGTTTAGCCTTTTTGGGGTCGAACCCAACGTTGCGCGTATTAAATGTCATCATTACTACTGCGCCTTCTACACTCTACGAAATATTATTAGGATTGATGACTTTGATAAGTTTCTCTAATAAGCTGGCAGGAAATCTACGCAACACTCGCGTTTTTTGTTCAGATTTATATAAAGTTTTTCATCTTACGTTGATTGATCATTGGACCACAACAACGTTCAATCAGACGCTTTCTCCTATAACTGCTGCGCTGCGGCTGAGAGTTGACGGGCTCTTTATTCGGCACTGACGAAGAAATTCACTGTTCTCTTGATGAGCGACCACAAGGTTGCTACAGGGTTACTTATTAGTTCACAAAAACTGAAGTTTCGACGAATTTCGCCATCCTCAGTGCCTCGAAAGGTTAGGTTGGTTGCGATCTTATCGGTTAAGGACTTCGATTTCCTCAGACCCACCGTTTTGTGTGAGTCTTCTACTGAGTCCTCTACTTGCAGACCAACCCCACAAGGTCAACGTCGGTGAGTAATGCGCCTTTCTCGAGTTAAAACATTGGTTTGAGATATTGTGTTAGCTTACGACTGATAGCTAGGCGGAACGCCTCTTGCGGTTGCTTTTGGATTCCTGGAATTTATCTAGAATGCCTCAAACGTTTTATGCTCTAAAGTTTTAGATTCTTGTGTGAGAAAGCACTGTCATTAGGAAAAAAGATTATCTTAACTCGACAAGACATGCGCTTTTCCACCGAACCAATCCGAACTTCATGAAACGAGGATAACTGCATTATGTATGGGGTCTACTGAGGATAGTCGCTGAGCATTGTATATAGAAATGCGACTACTCCGCCTCTGCCTACGATGCAAACAAGACAAGATTCTCGCGTAGATGAAGAAGTGCGCGATGAAATAATTCTCTAAGAGCACTTTTTTTAAAGAAAGCTAAGCACCAGTGAATGGAAGATAGACATCCGAACAGTTCGGCTCGTGTGTATGTAGAATTGTCTTGATCAACCAGCGGCACCCAATTGAACATCTGCTCGCTAATGGTGGTATGAGGACAGTTGAGTATCTACACTAGTACCCTATGATGCTCTACCAGCCACCGTCGTAACTTATTCCAATCGGCAGAAATCTCAACGAATTTCGGAGTTCATTTTACTAGCGAGCATCTGAGAAACATTATTACTGTGAGCGACCTGTTGTCGAACAGAAATTCATAGCAGTTGACCACATTACTCTAGTACAGCGTTCTTTTTTCTTTTTATACTTTACAATACCTGCCCCTTTGAAGGTATAAGAGCTTCTACGAAGTTTTAAAGCAAACTCTTTTAAGTGTACCTAATGTTCACTGATGACTGTTAACTAGAAAAATTCTTACTCATTAGGCGTTGTGTTTTCTTGTCGAACAGTATTTTCCATGTAAGGCTACATTTCCCTTCAGGCATTAGTAAATGATAGATCAATACATTAAGTCTATTTAGATAGAATTTTTAAACAGTTTCTAATACAAAGCTGTTTTCCGTTTGGTGCTATTTTTCGCCAAATGTTGAAAATTTACTGTAAGTCCAAGCAAACCGGTCTTTCGTACACCGAAGCGCCGTTCGAAAAGTGCATACGACAGGGCACCTAGAATTCCCATGGCTGATCCGTACGATCTAAATTATGAGTCAGTTAGGTGCGTAACAAAGAACTAACGAAAATGTTAAGTATTTATTAGGAAAGAAAGACCACTGAGTGAGAAACAGCTTGTTTTTTCTTCGCGTTTAATTCTCGTACTTGTGAGATGAAATACTGAAGGTCATATGGCCGGCGGAAGACACCTTGAAAATTTACCTGAATGCGGCAAGAACGATATCCGGAAGATGTGCTGACTGACCGTATCCAACGGCTAACTGGAACACGTTGTAGGCATGGCCATTTTTTTCGCTATTATTATCAATATCGTAATAATAATATTATCATTTACCGCCTACCATAATTTTTAACGGCAGGGTATCATGTGAAATACAACTAAGATGATACTGAGATATTTGCAAAACTCCGGACCGCAGGTGTCTGCGGTGGGGAACGAACGCGCTATTGTCCTTTCCGGGCAGTAACGCGTTCACCACCATACCATGCGGGTCCTTCGTTTCGCCTGTCTCTCAGCTAGTTCTATTGATCGGCGCCATTATAGTAGACAGTATATAAAAAGAGTAAGATTGTGATTTCTGACGGGTTCTATGGGCCGTGATATAAGGAGAAAAAAATTGGAGATTTGAAAATAAACGATCAGGACTAACGATTTTAGAAAAGCAAAAAGGGTAAGCATAAGAAACACTATGTAAGAAGTAGACTGGAGAATTGTTATAAACGATGAAGAAAAGCATCATTATTCCTCACTCCATCAAATCCCATTGCAGTCATGAAGAGCAGAGCCATACCAAATGCGGCCGCGACCACCGACTGTCGTCCGTAGGTTTGCAGAACGTGTGATGTACTAGTAACGACAGCTACCATCTTTCTCCAAATCGGGCTTGAGATCACTTATAAAATCGATAAAGGTTGGAATAAATACGCTCATTCTTCACAGTAAATGTTTTAAGGAATATATATTGATGAGGAATTTTCACTAGAAATTTCTTTTACAACCCTATGTGTTTTGCTTTGGGAGCAGACTTAGGCTAGAGGATAGAACAGGATAGGGTAGGCTTACGATAAAGACGGCTTAGGATAAATCGTTTACGTGAACCTTGCCTATTGAGAATCCTGAATTTTTTAGAGCTAAGGACATCAAAATTCTGTACGATACTGTAAGTTACCTATGATATCTTATTTTTTACTTTTCTATTTTGTTTGATCCATCTTCACATCCACTGTACAGTTTCCAGCACTTCCCACATTCTATTCGTTTCCTCGCATCCATTGTCCACGAAGATCTTCCATTTTTTACGTGTGCCTTCGGTTGCTGCTTGAGGATTTTCATTTCATCTAGAATGTCCTAGAATGCTGGTCGAGCAATTTTCTCTGGAGTCCTGAGAAAGCCAGATTGGAGCGTTCCCAATTGGATTGCAGAGAGTGTTCTTCCCAGACAAGTCCAGTACCAATTTTCCGACCTCGGAGGTATGAGAGGTTGAGTTCGTTCGGAAGGGAATCGAACTAGCACCATATTCGTGACGATGGACATCACTACCACTCTGCTATCCGCCCCTATGATAAGATACCCATGGTAGGAACTTTCAATGTTGAAAACCAAGATCCAGGTAGATTTTAACAATGAAGATTACCATTTTTTTTGTTCCTTATAGACTGACTGTGGTTTTCACCTACAGAATATAAAGTCAAGAAAAACCTTTGAAGAAGTCATTTCAAAAACTAAAAAGAAAGCAAAAACGGTTTTTAGTTTAGAGAGAAAGCTAACCAAAATAAGAAAAAAAAAACTTTCTGGCCACTCAGCTGTTAATATAGATGTATCGAAATATGAATTCTACCTAAATTCTGGTTCACTTCCACCTTTTGATTTCTAACAGCCAATGACGGCGTTCGAATGAAAAACATTCGAAGGAGAAACGCCTTCATCACCATCAACACTATGCCGAACGCACCAAATATCGCACATGTCATTCGTAGACCACAGGCGGTAACCATTAACTGGAAGATTTCGTAATCTTTTAGTGCTAAAGAGACAATTCCACGGTGAACTTTGGTGAATACACTCGGGGATCGCCATTTTGTAGCGGTTTTGACGAGTTAATCTGGATGTGTCACTAGGAATCGCTTTGCGATGCATACTGTTGCTCAACTCGTTCAAAGACGAACAAAAGCGACAGAAACAAATATAGAATCTAAGGTGCTAAAAAATCCTAGTAAAAAGCCAATTTCTGGTTTATAAAGTAAAACCGACAAAAAAACATAATATCTTCCATACACTTTAAATTTGAACAGTTTCTACCACCTGCTTCCTGTGAAAGCAACTGCGATGTGCAGCAGAGTTCGTTCCTCAGCATACTCATCCTAGCTGAGAATGTGCTCGACATTTCCATCCAGAAGTCCGGTTATGAGTATACGTCAAAAAAAATTCTAGCGGGCCTATCGGGCCTTTCGTGGCTACACTATCACAAAAAAAGGTTAAAAAAGAGCTTCATACAAAAAATGTGTTGCTTCCACTTCTCATGAGGAAGCAAAAGTAATTGAACAGCTCCCATGCGCCACTAGGCCAAATGAAATTTGCAGCCATAGGGAGCTTAGCGGATTCTACTATCGCGTAGACTTAACACTCTTAACAGGACTTCCACATAAAACGCGGAATTCTCAAATATAAGCGAATTTATTGAAGGAATGGACCCCAGCCACGATGAGATATGGACAAAGGGGACGGCGGATCGCGATGAGAACAATCAGCCTGCTTTCACTCCTTCCGAAAAGTACTGATAGTAAATCGATGAAAGAGCAATTTCATATAAAACATTATCCATACCCCTACTATAATTGGTGAGATCACATTCGTCAGCTGATCCAGAGCTGTGAATGCGGCGTTCAAGCCTAGAATCGTTGAAAAAAGACTGATACCGAAAGAAGAACAATCTAAACGTCAACAGTTTAACAACAAACTTGAAAGTGTTCCCCCACTGCTTATCACCACTAGCCAGTCTCTGGAGAGAAGAGATTTTTCAGCGTTAAGAAACAGTCGATTAACTGCACAGGCAGCAATACCAAGAATAAGGAACGATGTGAACCAGACAGAATAAGGCTGTACCGACATACACACTGTAATCAATCAATTACATATTTTTATGACAAAACTACATATTTTGAACGCATTTTCCTACTGATTTATTACATTGACTCATTGATTTGATATCATAGCTTGTCAAAGAAAGAATACATATTGTTTAGTCATGCCAAGATTAAAGGAAAGTCGGTTTCTGAACTATTGTATATTTTGTGCATTAGCCTTCTATCTGCTTATTACTTGGATAACTATCAAGGTTACGGTGGAATAACTAAACAAGTGGATGGGTGGAAAACTGAAGGATGTTCTATACCTGCCTTTCTACTGCTCTCGTAAATCCAACACAAAACACTGTTTAGTTTTCTAGGGGCGCGTATAGTGCAGTGGTTAAAGATCCCTGCAATAAAGTGGGTTCGATCCCACGCCCGAGGTCTGACAGGCCTTCCATTTCTTAGGAGTCAGCAAATTGGTGCCACATTTATCTGGGAGGACAGTAGCACTGACTCGATACATCGGTAGGTCACCGTTAGTTATTGCATAGGGCAGATATGCATTCAATCACCTCTGGTGATGCTTCTTGAAGTCGAATGTATTTAACATTCCTCAGAGACTGATCAACGCCGGAAAAATTATCCTTATCGTTTTTTACCCGGTTGTATACACTTAAAATTCGAAGCAAAGCGTGTAAAATGATACGCCCTGCTTTTACAGTTCTGTCAAAAATGAAGCAGAAGCAATACAATCGTTTGGCATCGACGAAAGGCAGTATGTAGTTCAATCTCAGCTTAAGCCTTTGCCTCTCAGCTACCTAAAACTTTGATTTTTTCGGAATTTAACAATTCGACGTTGTCAGGAGTTCTTGCAAAACTTCAGAAAACAAAACGATGATTTTCGCAGAAGAACATGCCAACCAACACTCCAGTACATTTTGTGTGCGACCAGCGACGGTTTGGTTGAAAAGACAAAGCAAGTGAATCTCGGAAAAAAATTCTGGATCTTCTTGCAAAAATCATTGATGTAAAGGTTAGAAGAAAGAAAAAAATAGCTCACCGATGAATGCGCTAGCACCAAGTGTGATACTGATGTTGTTCACAGGAACGACTGTCAGAATAGCTGAAATATGAATCCGATCCATGCGGAGCACAGAAGTCAACACCTCGTTGGGTTTTGCAGAAGGTTTTAAATTATTAATTTTTCTTGCGTGTTACCGTTTATTATTGGAATTATTCTAACGTTTCAATCATTAAAGAAAGACTTTAAATGACCCTTCAAATATACGGACATTAGAAAGATTATAACTGTGAATCGCTTAAAATTCCTTATTAACGATTTTTGATGCATATACTCAGCGGCCACTGATCTTCTTCACAGAAGGATCTCGTTACGGTTAGCCATGAGGGAATTTGGCTTGTCCCAGAAGAAGAATTTCTCGGAATATGCGGCAGTGGAGGAGTCGGCGGCATCAGGGTTCTCGTCAGCACGAGTTCGGCCATAAGCACCTATTCATCCAAACAACTAACAACTGGTATCGGAATTTTGGGGTTGAAGAGATATGGATCACTACCGACTTTGACAATTTTCGTCGTCTTTGCATCTACAACAAGCTATGACGAGGTGAAGTCGAAGTTTATTCAGTTCATGAGTTGGTTGCTGGAAAGAAGCCGTTCTTGAAGACATTGATGTGGAACACGATGGCCTCATTCAGCATTTTCACGTGAAGACCATGAAAGCTGACAGCTTCAAAGTCACCAAGACAGGTCTGTCTCCAGAAACACTCGAGCTGATATTCCAGCTTGGAATCAAATGAGTAACATGAAACCGGCCACCCACGACCGAACATGCAAAACAATGCAGACAGGCGAAAAATGAAGACCTTTAGGAGAGAAGAGTAGCAATTATAATCAAATATACTGAGGCTGGGAAAAGATTTCGGAAACTCCGCCGAAACTTCATTACTTACGAGACCAAGGTGATCGGACTCTGACACCTAGAAGAAACAGTAACAGCATTCAAAAAAACAATGGAGATGATCATTTACTACTACTACTCGAATCTCTTCAATGGCCAAGACCTCGCGCCTTCATATGAAATAAATGAGGATGAATATATCGTACCGCGGGTTCTCCCTTCCGAAATCCGACATGCCATTTCGTCGGTGAAAAATCGAACAGCAACAGGTTCGGACAGGATAAGATCAGAACACCTGAAGAACCTTCCACCAGTCCTCGTAAACACACTGGCTCAGCTATTCACACGTTACCAGTCTAAATGCAAGATCCCTACTCAATGGAAGACCAGCAGGACTGTGGCACTCTTCAAGAAGGGTGGCCTCTACGATATTGACAACTATCGCCCAATCTGCTTGCTTTTTGCCGTCTACAAAATTTTCATTCGGGTCATCCTAAAAAGGATTGACGGAACACTGGACCAAGGAAGGGAATGTGAGTACTCCGGGTTTCAAAAATATTTAATACGATGAAAGCAGTCATAGAAGCCCTGGATAGCCAGGGTCCCTACTCAGCATGTAAAGTTCAATCCACATCGTTACTAATACTAAAGTAAAAAGAGGGGTTAGGGAAGACGATACCATGCCGCCGAAATTCTTTACTGCCTCGTTCGAGAACGCCATGCGAACATTGGAATGGGACGAAATGGAAGTGAACGACGGTGGTCGGCAACGTTCGCTTAGCTGATGATATCACTCTCATAAAACCAAGCATTAGCTACAGAGATGGAATGCTTGCCGAGTTTGACAACGCTTATGGAAAAAACTGCTTTCGACTAAATCTCACAAAAACGATGCTCCTGATGAAGGAATTGGTTTCGTATGTCCCGTTCACGCTTAAAGGAACGAATATTTTCATATGCTCTAGGTACGACTATGTAGGTCGCGAAATCAACATGATGAATGGCGGAACAAACAGCTTGGGAATCTTTCAAAAGCATCGAGGATGTACTTAGAAAAACAAAGAATACCCCACTCCGTGCCTATCTTTTCGACTCCACGATTTTTCCTGCCTTAACGTATGCTTCAGAAACCCGATCGCTACGTAAGCACGATGAAAGATTATTCAACATTATTGCATTCGCAGTCGAAAGGACGATCACAGGAGTATCATGTGGAATATAACCATAATGATGTTGAGATATTTGCAAAACTCCGAACTGGTTCGAACTGGCCCGAGGTCCAAGTTTTGCAAATATCTTATCATCATTATGGTTGCATTTCACATAATACCCTGGCATGAAAAACCGTATTAGGCAGCAAATAAAAAGCTAACATTGACATTGATTTTAGGAATGTCCTGTATCACATAGGTAAGAAAAGAGATCGAAACTCTCACCTACGTCACCGATCAAAATCAAAGACGCCGCTCTTCCACGCCAAATTATCGAAAATGAGTTGGAGCGGGCATCTGCGACAACCGATGGACTAGAGCCGTTAATGGCTGGATTCCTCCCTCGGAATGTCAAACGCACAAAAGGAAGACACCAACCCGATAGTCAGAGTTTTTCATGAAAACCTCAGAAGAAAGTCATGAAACTCAACAAGTGCCTAGAGCGAGCAGAACCCACTAGGTTGCTTTTGCACGTAACGGGTGAATGGGAGATTTACTGGCGCCTCACTAGACGACCAATGGTGCGACAGCTTATAAAGGTGATTTCCATCGGAGATATTGTAGATCACATTTACCATGTTTCTTTTCTGACTCTAAAGTAAATATCATGAAGGAGATATTCTAGAAAAAACCTAATAGCTAAAATCGTCTTAAATTGATATGGACTGATGGTGTGATAAAGAAAAGGAGTAACTGATTATATAAATAAATATAAGAGAGAGGCAAGGTAAAAAAGTGACGGAGAGAAAGCAGAAATCCTACTCTTTCAATGGCTTAGCACCTGATCACCGCGCGAAGTCCATCCTTTAAGCCAATTCTCCCAAAGTAAGAATGAATTCGATGTCAGGCGAGAATAAACCAATGCCGACACTTTCTAAGCCAACCACCATTTTAACTCGATGTGGATAAGCAATGCTTGCTTTTATTATCGTGCAACATGAGGTTGGTATGTAAGTTTCATTAGGGTAACGTTTCGGAATCTTCCCCTTCTTCAACGCCACGTTGATCCGCGTTGATGGTCTATAGATGGTCGCCGTCGCATCGAGTCGATTCTTATGGTGGAGCACCGGTCGAATGAAGTAACCTCACTCCGGTCAAATGAAGTAACCTCACTCGTTTCATAGTGCCATTTCATACAGAGAGGTTATTAATCCATCGCTATCGATTTTTGGCTGTTTTTTAGAAGACGAAGCGTGAGCCGAATAAAAAAGTTTCTGTTGAATCTTGTCTTAGTTCAACCATTCAAGAAACTATTGAATAATCATGTCGTAGTTAAACTATGATCAGTTGTGAAAGTACTGATTCGTTATGTGGTAGTAAATAAAATCCTGAATTGCCATCGTGAAAATAAATGAAATTTGATGGTAATAACTGACAACCGTTCTGTACGAAAGCGTGTTGGATGGCTAGGAAACTTCATTCGAAGGAAGACCTGCATGGTGAGGACTAATGATTGTGGACCACTGACACGAATAAAAATGGCTCCGAAGAAAGAAAAAAAGCTAAAGGTTAGCCGAATAAAACTTCTACATAAACCTCGTTATTAGCTTAATAATCTAAAAAAAAAATCCATCCTAAGAAAACTCACGTAATGGTAGGAAACCATTTAGAAGGTAGGGAATCTTCCTCATATCAAAAAGGTTTGCTGAATGTTTGCAACGATATGCTGGTAAAGTTTAAGCACGGCTATACCATGATTTAAGTAAAAGAAAGTCTTGCTAACCCGAAATATTTGAAGTCAAATGTGAATTGTTGTGGATTACAGATGATTTCTCGTGAATGCAAGCCATTCATGTATCGAAGTAAGGAAGTAGACTTGAGGGAGAGTGATACCAACCGAATTTGCGGCTCACTCGATCGAACTGTCTGCCTAGATGTCCACTAAGAATCATCTGACCGATTCCTTCACCGAACTGCTCAATCGACACCATTCTCATTCCGCCAAGTGCTTGCATACAAAGTGAAACACAGAATGACCATGCTCGATCCTCCTTTGAAAGAGATTGTAGGCTTTAGTATAAATAATCGACGAAAATAATGTTGACGGTCAAAAAATACACACGTTCCCACACCCACGTATACATATCCGCACATAAGCGTACAAACATACGCACAGATTCACTGAAAAGGCGGGTTCGACATTAATTGCAGTATGTCCAGTTCCTTTAACCGTTACACTATAGCTGAGTATATATTTTTTACATCACCCGTCGTCACATCTACTGTGCGGATCCTGGCACTGATGAGGATCAAAGAAATGTTGAGATTCACGGGTCGCATCCAAAATGAAATGGCCGGTGCTCTTGTTATCCGAGTGATTTTTATTTATACACGTTTGTTTACATTCAAATATGTAAACAAGAAAAAGGAATTTATTAAAGATCTATCATCATTGAACGTTTTCCGTACTTAACTTCACTTCAAAATCTTCATTTTTAACGGTAATGTAGAGATGTTCAAAGCTCTATGAAACGTATAAACCATTGAAGGCCATTGTTCAAGCAAAATATCCATCCAATCACTTCTACGATGCCGGAAGAAGTCGAAGACATGACGTGTGGCTCGGGTGTTGATCAAGGACAAATGCTTTTAAGATGGTATACATGCATGTAAATGAAGCAGATGAAGCGCACGTGGCCAACATATTCGTCGTGTTCAAAAGTGAACATGAGCTGAACTGGAATACAAAGATGATAAGGAGTTACATAGGAGAATGCTCATGAATTGAGGCAAATTCCATTTAGGAGGGGTCAACTTAATCGTTCAGGTCTTATAGAATGGCTACTATCAGAAGTGTTGACTCAAACTTTTTCACCATTCGATAGTAATCGAAGAGTGAAAAAAATTTCAGCAACCTCTTTTCCTGCAAAAACATGGAAAGAAACAGTGCACAGAAAGAAGTAGCCGATGTAGGAGTGGATAAATTTTATTAAGGCTATGAATGCAAATATTAGTAGATTTTGAAGTACTCAGCGGCAGATGATGTGGGATAATGCATGAGACAAAGGAGATTAAAGCATTCGGCGCTGACCTACCTGGATGTGCCATTCATTTGACTCCAGTGGAAGTATCGAAGACGTTACTGAGCGCATATCTGGTTTATACAATGACTCTCGGAGATCTACCGGTGCGTATCCAGTGATGTCGCTCTCCTCTCAGACAAGTTTATTAGGAATTTGCTTATTCTGGAAAGATGGATGGCCCCGAGCACTAGGTTCGAAGCGAAAACCCTGTCTGTGTTGCACAGTGCTTCGAACCACTGCGCTACATGATCACCGACATGGCGTTTTAAGCTTGAAAAGCGAGATGATACTAAAAACGTGCGGGAAAAGCGGAAAAATTGGGATAAAGACTTTTGAGCGGCTTGTCATTGGTACTTGAAGAAAGCAATAATAGTTTAATCGATAGTACCTTCAATATACGTCGTATTTTCTGCATTTTCCTTCCACTAGCAAGTATAATAGCAGTTTCAAATCTGTTGGTTTAAAAACCACTGTTGACAATTGCCCTCTACTCGGCGAAAGATAAATACTTTGTGCACGTAACAGCCAGCTGCCCTCGACTCATGGGTTAATGTAAATGTAGACGCGACAAAAACACACACACCCACACACACACACACACACGCACACACACACATACACACACTTTAACACACATAGACAGACACAGATACATCACAGACCCCATAATAAATAAATGTCAACAAAAGTATTAAATTATAATAAAGAACAATAAATATAGGAGGAAACTAGTCTATACCATGCATGTCGTTAGATAAGCGGCGTAGAGGAGAAGATTCGTCTTGGATCGGACGACCGTCGAGGGACTCATAGTAGCATTCAAGCGGCTCCGCCTTATCGGCGCTCCGAAAAATTCGTCACATTCACTATCGGTACAAGTTACTGCGTTGAGCACTCATGTTAATCGATAGCAGCAGCACACATAGACGATGGAAGGAATTTCCTTTATTCACTGATACCTACAAACTTTGTTAAGTCAATAGATGCAGCAGAGCTGCGGAAAAAAACAAAAAAACAAGAGATCAACGTCGCGCTACCACGATATTACGAAATTTGAATCTCCCATTAGAACGTTTAGGATTAGTGCCTGTGGCTTTTGGTAAGGCGAAACCGAAATTTCGAATTTTTCTCTAAGATTCAGTATTAAGGAGAGCCCCATCAATAACACCAACATTCATGTACAAATAATCCGATTATTTTAAGACGCCTCCCAACGGTTCATGGCCTCATCGTGGCTGAGAGCTGTTCCTGGATGTCGGACTGCAATGTACAGCGAGGAGGTTCGTCCCACCGGCAGGGTCTCCCAAGTTGAGAAAGAGTACGGCGTTTCCATCAAGAAGCCTAGCTAAGAGTAAACCAATGCCAGGATCCACCGCCGTCCTGGTATCAATGTCGCATGGTGGTAAATCTCCCTCTGATCCACAAAGACTACCTGCGGTGGTGACGACCTGGGGCGGACTTTGGTCAAGCTGTCCTCGGGATTCCAGGGAACCACAATGGCTTGAGCAGCAAAGCTCCGAAACATGGTGATTATGCTGGGGCCCGTACAACTAGTGAGGACGGGCCATTCAAGTATCAAGTATGTATTTTAAGACGAAATTGTTTTTTAACCATATGGACCAAACCAAATACGTTTCTGTGCTGATATTTATCACTGCTTTTAGAATCATTCTTATTTTTCTGCTGTTATTATTTGTTCATTCATTTAATTGCTTGCGTGACCAAGGAGGCGTGTGGCGCATTACTGAGAGGTTCCTTGCAACACACATTTGGAATTGATCAACACTTATCAGATCGATCTCCGCTCCCATGGCCCACCAAGCCTTCCATCCCTCCAGGGTTGGCGAATCCCATAATTCCAAGATGAATCATCTTGAGTATAAATTGCAGACTTTCTTTAAGACGACGTAACTCTCCAGAAGCAACTGATCCTTCATTGTATTCCGAATATGTTCGTAGAACACGGAACAAAGCAAATTAACGAAGTGATGGAGTACATAAAATATATGGTTACAGGACATAAAAATAAATAAAGCAAAATAACGGCACCATTAATTTAGCACCCAATGGTGGCGGCGAATTTTCCAGGATAATGAACAGTGAGCTTTATTATTCAAGATTGCTAGCCGTGATTAAAAGGAGTTCTGATATTCAACAAGGATAAATGAAAGACTATTCAAAGAGCCATGAATTTGAGAAACTAGGTTTTAAAAACTCGAGGAAATGATTACCGACTGGTGGCTATGATGGCGCGGATAGTGCCCGTATATCACACCTTGTCTAATGGTTAGCGCAGAACCAAGCAGAATTTTAAGTAATAAGGTGACTTTAGCAGTTTAATAAGATGTTTGAAAATAAACACGCTAGGGAAGCGCTGTGAGAGAATAGTTGTATCCTGGTCGTGAAATGCGCGAAAATCTGAACTATGTAACTGCCCAGTATTATTTATTTGCTTATTTATTTGTTACAAAGAAAATGTCACCTATCCCATAGGAATCACCTCACCTTTAAATTTAATCTAAACACTCATTAACTGTCTACTTTAATGGAAACTCATAATTCTAAAAAAACTAGAGAAAAAGGGACACCATTGAACATAATTGGGATAGAAGAAGGCCGAAGTGTTGTAAGTTAGATTTTGTCATTGCTTTAATGCGTGTGATTACGACTAACTATGTTAACTTACTTGATACTTGAATGGCCCGTTCTCGCTGGTTGTGCAGGCCTCAGCATAATCTCCAAATTTCGGAGATTTGCTGGTTAACCCGTTATGGTACCCTTGAATCCCGAGGTCAGCCTGGCCAAAGTCCGCCCTTGGTCATTCCTACCACAGGCAGTTGCAGCCCTTGTGGAACAGGGGTAGAGATGAATCAACAATGCTAAAGCTGAGCAAAAATTGTAGATTTGAAGCTACATAAATCATACTGATAAGCCCATATCGATATCGATTAAACGACCTGTTTATTTCCCAGTTTTCGTCCATAGTCGTCAACGGTTTTCATACTTTTCATGTAAAAATTATCACACATGAGCCTTCTGCATCGAATTGGAGGAATTCCTATCAAGGCTTTAAGACTGCATATTTCCATCATACCAAAACATTAAAGGCTACCATTGATTTAGCGGCAGGCAGAGAAAACCGTGAACTCTTCCACGGCTAGAGTCGATAAATGAATAATGGTTTTTTCGGGAAGAAACGATAAACTTTCGACGGCTAGAGACTTATGAGATTGAGAATGAAGTAGAGTTTAGAGTTACAGAAGACGCCCGTACATTTTACTACATTTCTCCTGGGGAACAGATTGCTCCTAGAATTTGGGAGGATTTTATGCTGAATATGTTTCGGTATATCTTGAAGCCGACCACAGTAAGACAATTATGGTCCGGAATAACAAACTAAAACGAAAAACACCAAGTTACCGGGTCCAAACTTTGCAACGGGTTCAAAAAGTGAACATTACATGCCATCTATAAACGATGGCCCGAGTTTCCTCATAACTGCAGATAATTTTCGGTACCTAGAAGGTTCACAAATATGATAATTTGACATAATTTTAGATGAGGCTTCGCTCTATCACTTCAGAAGGATGCAAGAACTTTCGTTTACTATAGCTTTCATTTTTGAGTTCACTTAGAACTAAAGTCTTTAAAAAATATTCGATTTTTTATCATGGTAAAACTAAAGATTTTTTGTTCTTGGTGAAGATCTCCAATTCTGATAGCTTTAATTTCAAGTGACGAAGTTTCTTATACCTCCTAACGGTTTACCGCCTCACCGTCGATGGGAGGTGTTTCTGTGTGTCGGGCAGTGAAATACAACGTGGATTAATCTCCAACAAGGCCTCCCAAACCGAGAATGAGCCCGGAGTTTTCACCCGGTAACCCAAAATAAGTAGCAGGATCCACCGCCGTCCTGGAATCAAACTAGTCTCTTGGTGGCAGATCTCCCTCTGACTCAGTTGGGCGGGGACTGCCTGTGGTGGTGACAACCTGGGCAGACTTTGGCCAGGCTGACCTCGGACTCCAGGGAGACACAATGGCTATGGCTAAACTAGCAAAACTCAGAAAAATGGAGAATATGTTGAGGGGCAGGGTGGGCCCACAACCAGTAAGAGCAGCCCGTCCAAATATCCAAGTATCAAAATAAAGTTTGTTATAACCTTGAATATCCTTGTTGGAAGGCATAACTGTTT